TTCCAAGACTAAGACTCAGGAGGAATACACCAGCAGGCATGTGGTCTGGCTGGTGACCACGTTGGTCACTGATAAGGGAAGAGGGGGAATAAACAGCATTGAAGTTGGGAGCTAAGTCCAACCACATTCAACAGACTCCTGTGAACCCAGGTGGAGACCTGGATGGCCAGCAGTACGGCAAGACCCAGGGACTCCTGCGCCCAGAGGCAGTAACATAGCCACAGAGGACTAGAGCAAAGAGTGAAGTGTTCAGTTGATATGAAGTGAGGGGAGATGTACAAGAACACCCATACTTGCAGATACCCACTTGACCTAGCTTCAATGGCTGGATGATCAGAACTCAACTAGAAGAAGAAAGAAGAGGGGGGTAAAACAAGAAGAGTAACCCACTAAAATTTGATGAACTTTACCTATACTTATGGATGTAGTAGCTCAAAAAAGGAAACAAATCTTTACAGCAAGGATCCTCGGTACACAGGGTTCACAGGAACGGGCAACTTAGACATTGGCTACCTAAAATGAGGGTGCTATAAAGGCAAGAAGTGACTGGCTTACAAGCTTTCAAGAAGAAGCCTAGTTCCAAATGGGGCAGTATAGGTAGAACCTCCACTGAATGATTTCCAATCTGTTGGGACCGGGCTAGTGAAAGGAAATGGAGATAAGACTCTTGTGGTACAATAGTGAATAATTGCCATCAGGACTGACTGTAAGGCTAGGAAATGTAGAGGTATATGTTTTTTTGACAAAAGGAGGGGAGTGATTGATTTTGCAGCCTAGGAGCAGAGGTCACTGGGACCATCAAGTGAGAAGAACGGAGAGCGGGACCCTACCCAGAAAGGCAATGACGCAAGGGATGGAGACAGAGACAATAACGTGGACAGATGGAGCGGCTGAGGACACTGGACTCAGGGAGGGAGAGGGGCCGTGTGCTGACAGCCGGTGGGGGGTGGGGGGCAGGCCTGTGGGATGTACCCTTTGGTTATTTGATGATGCATGGAGGGGAATGTAATCATTGCAATGTAACGAAATACGATAGGATGAATGTAAAACTGATGTTCTCCCATGTAAACCCACATAATTCACAATAAAAACTTTAAAAAAAGAAACCAGAGTAACAGGAAAATATAAGCAAAAATATATGTAAACTACAAAATTACAAAGGAAATCCTTTCAAATGTAGCACAAGAAAACATGTAGGCCCACAATCTTTCTATTATGCAAAAAAGAACAACAGAAATAAAAAATTTTTTAAAAGGATAACACATCAGAGTTTAAAAAGAAAGACGAAAAAGGCACTTTGAAATTAAAAATACCCTCTTAATAATTTTGGTTTCAAAGGAGAAGTAGCCTTTCTATATATCTCCATATTTTTGTACTTAAAAAAATGTTTTTCAGCTAAAAGATCTTAGACGGTCTGTGTAGTCACTCTTCCCTCTGACACACATACAAGCCACAGTGACTTTTAAGCATCTATAAAGTATATACCATATGTCCAGCTTTCTGATTGATTATCCATGTGAGGCAAAACCAGAAAAGGTCCCTACATTAAAGAAGCGCATGGTCCAGTTGGCGAGTTAGTTATGTTGAACAGCAGCCACCAACATAGTTACAAATGTTATACAAAGACAGAAGAGAAGGAGATCGGCGTAAGGCTTATTTATGGGACTTGTGCAAGGCCTCAAAGATATAAGAGTTTTAAAGAGGAAAAATGGGGAAAACACTCTGGTCCAGGACACAATAGCAATGCAAGCTAAAGAATAAAATGTAAATATTGAAGTAATAATGAGTGATTACTGCAGACATAGCTTAGGAAGAAAAACACTACAGTATTAGACTAAATTGTTTATACTGAAAAAAATGAGCTGCAACAAGATTTTCAAACACTCAGACTATGGGCTGCTAGCTAAAGCTTGTAAAGATCCTCATCATTTTGAACTTTCATTCAAAGGGACTTCCATCTTGAGACAGAATTGATCTCACTAGAGAGAATAACATTACTGATACAGAATCGTCTTCATTATCCACTTGGGAAACTGACCACAGCAGAGGTAGAATACTTGGCTGGGCTCCATCGCTACTTCATGCAACAAGAGGAAACCAACAATAACTAAGAAATGTAAACACCATTATCACAGTGAGGTTCTACCGATCCCGGAACCGCTATGACTATTGCACATTCCCATAGTCTAATTCATAACAATTAAAATAACTAAACTAAAACAAAGGCATCTACTCAAGAATGATATTTATCCTGAAAAGAAAGAAGGAAACATGGAAAGATTTAGAAATTATTTCAAATAAACAAGGTCAAGAAGACTCTGCCAAATAGGCAGGAGTGAGGAGATACACAGTATGTTCGTTTATGAGCAAAATGCTGTTATTCGCTCTAACTGCATCAGCTTAATCCAAATCCAACATTTCTTATTCATTGAAAAGAAACATATTAAAATAGCAGCAATTTCTTTTACAAACAAACACATCCAGTTAAGGAAATATTCACCAAAAAGATTTAATCCTAAAGATAATAAATACAGGAGGAAAATGATTTCAGTGCTATTAATTGTAAGGGCACTTAACAACAACCTCTACATATAAATATGTTGCAAGTAAGTCAGTAATAACAACGTTTAAATTTATCATAAAATTTTTAATGAAATTAATTCTATTATAATTTATCCCTATGCTTTTATTTAAAGCCACAAAAAATAAAAATCAATTGAATCATTAGAATTTATTGTTACATACTGTGAAAAACACTAAAGACAATACTTGTATCTAATTGTTTATAATTATGATGTCGAAAAAGCTATGGGAAATTTCACTCACAAATACCTAAGAAAAGACATGGTGGGCCACTTTTAAAGATGAATTTCATAATATATATTAGATGAAAACTTGGACTTTTACTCATAATACCTACAGTTACTTAATTGGTAAGCTGCATCTGGACAAAAAGCTGTAAATATCTGCTGAGAAAACCTTATCTTTGAACTCCCTAAATGTGCTGATTATTGAAATTGGGTATATCCCTTGTAAACGGGATCCTGGTGTGGCGCTGTAGGATAAGCACTAGACTGCAAAGTCAGTTTGAACTGCAAGGTTCAAATTCACCAGCCAGGCTCACTATGAGTTAGAACCTACTCAACGGTACTTCACAACAACAACCCTTGTAAATAATATGAGTAATAAAAGTATTTCAAATAACTGTTCTCAATAAGGTCTTTGTACCCATTACTTTCACACATCCTATATATACAAAGGCACCACAACAACTTTCAAATATTTAAAGGAACCAGGAAACTACAAGCCATGAAGGACCAAATACCCACAGTGTGGATCTGTCTTCTTGATCTGTCAAATGGAAGGCCAGAGAGAACAGCACTTGAATAGATATACGGAATATTACGATAAGTGATTTCCAAGAAGAGAAATATGTTACTTTTTTTGCCTGTTATAAATGCTTTTACATAAATATGATGCAATCTGATGAATCTGAATGTCTGCTTGGTATTGCAAAAAATCAATCTCAAAATGTTAAATGAATTTTCAGATACAAAATACTATAATTTATATTAAATACATAGCACTTTTAATTTGCTTGTGATCCCTTATAAAAACATTTATAACAAAGCAACTTCTTTTTAAAATATTCCTTGTTTCAAAACATGGCTTCTATTTTTTCAAAATTTAGGCTTTACATCAACCATTAATACAAACATGGCTTCAACAATAACACTGGGCATTGTTGTTCAGTGCTATCAAGTCAGCTTTGACTCACAGCCCCTCGTACAGGGTTTCCAAAGAGCAGTTGGTGGGTTATCCCTTAGTACTACCCAGAACTCCAATATCGTACATGTTATTGTTGCTCAGTGCCAAGGAACAGCTAATGGGGTTGAACTGCTGACCTTGTGGTTTATAGTCCAGTGCTGATCCTACAACACCATACCAGGAGTCCAGTACTGTGCACTGATATTGTTAAGTGTCATCAAGTCGATTCTGACTCATCGCGACCTTGTACAGGATTTCCAAGGAGCAGCTAGTGGGTTTGAACTGCCAACCTTGTGGTTCAAACTGACCTTAAGATCCAGTACTTATCCTACAGTACCACACCAGGACAAATACTGTTCATGTGACCTCTTAATTGGGGAGTAAAATGTATTCTGTGCAAATAGTTAATCTAGGTGTTACTAAAGAGCTCTACATCTGAATTTTAAATGTGTAATAAAATGGCCTTAGTAGGCAGAACTAAATAACTTTGGAAATCTACAAAGCTTTATAGAAAGTTGTGTTTGTTATATATTTGCCAAAATTTTTAATTCCTAAATAAAACCTGATATGTTAAAGAGTTTCAAGATCATGCCTTTTGTATCAGTGACCTAGAAATATTATACATTTAGAAATCTTATTTACTTTCTTTGTTGATGTAACATTAGGATAAAGACTTTGTCTTTCATTTTAAATGTAAGGTAGCCTTATTTAAATGTAAACTGTTTTAAACACATGATCATTAGTGATTATTCAATTCTACACCACTTGATACAATTAGATATGATATCCCTGTTGTTGTTGTTAAGTGCCATAGAGTCAGTTCTGACTCATAGCAACCCTATATAGGGTTTCCAAGGAGCAGCTGGTGACCTGAACCTGAACCGCCAACTTATACTCCATTAATATATCATAACACATGATCTTTAAATACTTGAAGAAATCTCTTTGCTAAGAAAATAACCTATCAATAAAACCATTTTCTTGAAATTTCATATTTGATTTACAAAGAATATGTTGTTAGAAATATTAAGCAAATATAATTAATGGCACTAATAAAGTTTTTCTATCATTCATTTCTAATAAAAAATTTTTAATTATTTATATTATTGACATTCTGAGTACAACATCATTTACCATTATTTAGTAAAATCATTAGTTATTGTTTAGTAAAAGTTCTAGAGAACTGCTTAATTAAGATCTTCTTTTAAAAACTATTCAATTAAATGACTTACTGCAGACAGCCCACTTTTACTGCTACAGGAATGTGGGGAAGCTGAGTGGCCCATTTCAGTGTCACATCCTGATAAATACGCAACATGTTACTATGGTTTCCAATCAAAGTATTTACTGTTCCTTCAGAAACTGTAGATTAAAGATACAGAGAACACAGATAAGACAGCTATTTGCAACAATATAGTGTATTTCATTTAGGGGATTTGTCACACAAAATAATTTTAATATCTTAGTTTTAATACATAAAGATTTCTAAGCAACAGGATACTATTTTACAACTCAACATACCAGTTAACTAAGGGAAAATCATCTTACAGACTTGGAAAGTATAACTGAACAGTGGCCAACATTTTTGTATTTCATCTAGAAAGCATAAACTTCATTAATATTTAATACATTTAAGTTAATGATTTAATGGGCATTCACTACAGATAAGTAATTTCACACCCCATTTTGCTTATAAAAGAGTCTGACATTCTCTTGGAAGCATTTTGAACAGCCACGGAAAACACAGACGTATGCTGGAGGCCAATAGTACAAGTCATTTTGCACAAAGTAAAATGACTGGCAAAACTTAATGTGAACTTTGTATAAAATTTTTGTTCTAATGTTAAAAGTTAAACTTTCCATTATATGTTAAGCATTAAACTATTTACCTAGATGTTTAGAAAATATGTGCATATTAACGGATTTTTCTAATGTGCATAGCATAGCCTTAACATATGAAAAAGTTAGAAGAACTTCTTAATACACACCTGAGCAATAGGGAAGAAAACAACTTGGGTTGCAATCAAGTTTCTTCATGAACCGAATTTGTCCATTATCCTTAAGGCAAAAAAAGTTTCTCTCACCAAGAACAAAAACAGAAGATGCTGACTGATTAAAAGAGACAATACATATATCAAGGGCTTGCTCTCCAATATTTAGAGTCCAATCCACCTGCAAAGCAAAACCCAGGATCAGTTTAACCATTACAAAGAGAAAATGTCAGCCACTTTTATATAAATCCAAATCTGGAACACAGAATACCGGATGAACCAGGTTTAAAGGATGGTCCCAGAACTCTGAATGTCATATAAAAGGATAATTAAGAAAACCTTCTTTCTGGCTACTGCTCCAAAACAAATGGGTTTGGAGCAGTAGCCAGAAAGAAGGTGTTTTCTAATTTGTTGTAGCCAGTGAGTCCTGGCACAGCCATTTTGAATGAGAAGGAGCAGATGAAACGTCAAGAGAGCACTTCCATCTCAGAGGTCTGACCAATCTTCAGAGTTAAAGGTACAAACATTTCTTTTTCATTTGTTTATTTTCCTCTGTCCACCGTCACTCTGGGGATCAGAGGAGATACCTGAGCAAGTGGACACCCCCAGGAAAGGTTCTACTACCATGCACAAGGATCAGCACAACAAAGATCGCTAGTTGCAGAATCGAAGAAGGGGATGGAGTCAACAGGAATAACTTAAAACAGGAGTGTCTTCCAAAATGGGCCTGGCCAGCCCTAGACTGGTTCTCACTAAGAGAAACGACTGAATGGGCTTGAGGGTACATGAGAGAGACAAAAATGGGGGGGTGGGGGAAGGCCAAAAAGAAAGCCTTGAGTTACATCATCAAGTGCAATGAGAACACCTTGAAATTTCTCAAGCAGCTTTGAAGACATGAAATCAAAAAAGAAATGTTAAGTCATACTCATATTTTGTTACAGTTTTTCCTTTGTTATTGTTTGCTTTTGATTTGGTTTTTGGTGATTCTGTACTTTAGTTTCCAGTCTGTTTTACTGCTCCCCCTCTATCTGGGGAGGAGAGAAGGCCTCTTTTCTCTCTTTGCCATACCCAACAAGAGACAGAAATTGCAGTGTACAGCCAAATTACAATCTCACACTATAAATTCCCACCATCTAGGCAATAACCAATACCAGCTGGTATACACCAGAACAGGATAAGTAACCAACACCTGCTAAAATTACTCTGAGTTGAGTAGTGAGAGAAGTGAAAAGCCCATCTCCTGATCCCATCTACTAGGAGACCATCAGAGAGCTTAATAATATGCCAACATACATTCATCTAATTATTGAAAATAGAACACCACCACAATGTTTAAAAATCAACAAAATTTCTACTCATGTGAAGAAGCAAGACACAGTATCTCCAACAAATGAGCTAGAGGTAGACCTAGAATTTTCATTGGAAGGAGTGCAGGCTTTGGGACTGCCTGATAAGGAATTCAGGAAAATGATATTGGGGTATATCCAAATGTCCCACAGAAAGTTTAAGGAAAACAAGAAAGAAGTCAAAAAAGTGCTACAGGAACAATCAAATAAAATAGAAATAGAACTGGTCACAATTCAAAACCTGCAAAAAGAGGTCCAGATGATTAATCATAAAATATCAAAAATGGTCAATACACTGAAAGGGCAAAGAAGTAGAACTGAAGGAATTGAAGCCAGTATCAGCGAACTTAAAGATAAATCTCTTAATACTGTAAAGATAGAAAAGCAAGCAGAAAAAAGAATTTAGAAATCTAAAGACAGTCTAAGATTCATGTGGAACAACATAAAGAGGACTAGCCTAAGTGTTACTGGAGTCCCAGAACAGGAAGGATCACAGATAACCACAGAGGAGATAGTTGAAAAGTTCTGGAAGAAAATTTCCCTAACATCCTGAAAGAGGAGAAGACAAGCATTCAAAAAGCTCAATGGACCCCAGGAAGGATTGATGCTAAAAAAAAAAAAGCTCATCAAGACATATCATAACCAAGCTCTCCAAAATCAAAGACAAGGAGAGAATCCTGAAAGCAGCTAGGGAAAAGAGAAGTATTACCTACAAAGGTAAGCCAGTAAGATCAAGCTTTAATCTCTCAGCAGAAACTATGCATGCAAGAAGGCAATGGGACTACATATACAAAGACCTGGAAGAAAAAAACTGCCAATCAAAAATTGTTTACCCTGTAAAGATGTCAATAAAATATGATGATGTAATCAAACATTTGAGGATAAAAAAGGGACTTTGTAAAAGCTAAGCCAGGGCTTCCAAACATCCTAAAGGGAGTTCTTTGGAATGAGAACTAACAAGAACAGACAACAATCAGAGATGACATATGTGTCAAAACCACCTGGAACTCAGTCGAGAGATGGAAGAGTCCAGAGCAAAACAAAATACAAGAACGAAATCAGAGGATCTGGCAGGTCAGTTTATGAACAAAACAACTATAATGCAAAACAAGGAGAAAATATAGGAACAGAGATCCAGGGGGTGAGGAGGTAAGGCAGATTTCAAGATAAAACAAACTATTTTAAAAGGAGGCAAAGGTTAATAGAATATAGGGTCACCTCAAAAATAATTAATACTTCACAACACATCAAGAAAAGGAAAATCCAAGAAGAACATGAAAACATTAAAACTATGAAGAAACAGACCAGAAAAAGCACAAAACAATTAATTCAAAACAGGAAAGCATGCAGAACAAAGAATCTAGTAGCACCACACACACACACAAAAAAAAACATGATGACAGCAATTAGTTCATACCTATTGATAATTACACTGAATGTCAACAGACTACATGCACCAGTCAAGACAGAGAATGGCAGAATGGATAAGAAAACAGGATCCTTCAGTATGCTGTTCAAAAGAGACACACCTTACAAACAGTGACAAAACAGATTAAAAATGAAAGGATGGAAGAAAAATATACCAAGCTAGTTGCAATCAAAACCGAGCAGGAGTGGCAGGCAATACTAATCTCTGATAAATTATGCTTCAAGGTAAAAACCAGTATAAGAAACAAAGGACATGATCTCATTTTTAAAGGGTCAATTGAACAAGAGGGCATAACCAGAATAAATATCTATGCTCCCAACAAAAGAGCCCCAATATATAAATAGGGCAAAACCTAGTAGAATTTAAGAAAGAAACAGACAAATCTACAATAATAGTGGGAGATTTTAATAACACCACTTTTGAAAAAGGAAAGAACAACAAAAGAAACTCAATAAAGACAGAGGAACTAAACAACACAATCAACCAACTTGACCTCATAGATGTGTACAGAGTATTCAACCCAACTATAGCACAATACACATTCTTTTCCAGTGCATATGGAACATTATCCAGAATAGACAATGCATTAGACCACAAAACCAGCCTCAATACATTTAAAAATATCAAAATACTACAAAGCATCTTCTCAGACCACAATGCTATACAATTAGAAATGAACAATAGGAAGATCAAGGAATTAAATACATGGAAAACAAATAACATCCTCCTTAAAAGCTACTGAATATTAAAACAAATAAAAGGTGAAATTTTAAAATTCCAAGAAACAAATAAGATTTAAAACACAACATATCAAAACCTTTGGGACACAGCAAGAACAGTGCTGAGAGGACAATTTATAGAGATAAATGCACATATCCAAAAAGAAAAAGAACCAAAATCATTACGTTAACACAACATCTCCAACAATTAAAAAGGCCCAGCAAAGTTCACCTATAGTCACCAGAAAAAAAATAAATCATAAAGATTAGACCAGAAATAAATGAAATAATAAACAGAAAAACTATAGAAAGAATCAACAAGACAGGAAGCTGGTTCTTTGAAAGGATTAATAAAACTGACAAACCACTGGCAAAGCTAACAAAACAAAAGAGGGAGAAGACACAAATGACATGCATAGGAAACCACAAGGGAGATGTCACAACAGAACTAAAGGAAACAACAGGACACTATGAAGAGTTGCACTCCAACAAATATGAAAATCTAGAGGAGATGGGTTCACTTTTAGAAAAACACAACCTACCTAAACATACACAGACTGAAATAGAAAACATGAACAGATCTATAACAAAAGAAGAAATTGATCAAGTCATCAAAAATCTCTCAACAACAAAAAAAGTCTAGGTCCAAATGGCTTTACTGGTGAATTTTACCATACATTCAGAGAAAAGCTGTCACCAACTCTACTCAAACTTTTCCAGAATATAGGAAGGAAAACTTCCTAATATATTTTATGAAGCAAGCATAACCCTCATGCCAAAACCAGGGAGGACATCACTAAAAAAGGAAATTATAGACCAGTATCCCTCATGAACATAGATGCAAAAATTATCAACCAAATCCTAGCCAATAGAACTCAACTAGAAGAAGAAAGAACAGGAAAAGAATAAACCACTACAATTTGATGAACTTGACTTATACTTATGGATGTAATAGCTCAAAAGACAGAACAAATCTTTACAGCAAGGATCATTCCCAAGCCCTCGGTACACAGGGTTCACAGGGATGAGCCACTTAGACACTGGCTCCCCAAAATGAGGGTGCTACAAATGCAAGAAGTGACTGATTTACAAGCTTTCAAGAGGGAGCCTAGTTCCAGAGGGCTTGGGGGAAGGTAGAATCTCTACTGAGTGGTTTCCAATCTGTTGGGACAGTACTGATGAAAGGAGATGGGAATAAG